TCTGTGGACTGTTGCTTCAGATGGGTGTGGCCTTGTAAGCTGCTTCTTAGGGCGGAGCCCAGTGGTTTGTGAGTTGCTTATTGCTTTCATGAGCGACCACCACTGCAAACTATGGCACAGACTTTCTTTCCTTCACTTTAGTTATTTGATATACATATATATATATTTAACACATGTATGTTGTATATAATGTTATATATTATGTTAAATACCACATTGTGTTAAATATTATTTTTAACATGTACATGTATGTGTTTAAAAATATATATGTATTATCAGTATAAGTACTCAATATGCCCTCACAACATTGTTTTAATCTTGTGTCTAGTTGCACTCCGAAAAAAATTAACAGACAAAAAAGTTAATACATTAAAATTAAATCACCTTTTAATATACAAAGATATTTTTTCAACAAATGCTGGAAAGTCAAAGATGAGTCACATAGCATTGCACTTATTTTTTTTATTATCAATGGAAATTGAGTTTACATATAAATAAAATGTCAATCACATCATAACCATCAGGATAGTCAACACATTTATACTTTTTTATGACCTATTTTTTTAACTGCAGTTTTATGTTTGGCTCTTGGCCCACGCAGCAGTTGACGGATTCTGAACAGAGAGGGGAGGGTGGAGCGGAGCCTGTCCCGGGTGCACCCACAGAGTCAGTATGGCCTGTTTGAATCAACAGTTGTCATCTTAGATTATTTTAATCTATTTTCTTTTTAGAGAAAAGCAAAAGGAAGAATGACATGTGAATGGGGAAACGAATGGTAACATTTCTTAATTTGCTTAGTGGAATTGTAATCTTATTCAAATTGGAGCTTTTAAGGCAGTTGCCTCTCACCTGTTATGAAAGGGAAAATAATGCCTCTTTCCTTTGGATAATTGGTGAAGTGTGCTTGTTTTATTTTAGTTACCCCATTCAGTGAAATTGGCCCATGCTTCATTTTTCCAGATATGTTGATATACAGGTAAAATTGTTAAGGAAATTCTTCCTCTAAGATTATATGGCTATATAGAGACTGATTTTGGCAAATACGACGTGATTACCAGACTGTCTCCTTTTACCTAGACTAGTACATTTGAAATGAGATATTTAAAATATAGAGAGCATAGCATGATAAAATAAGAGCCTAATAAACTGTTTTTGGGCCAGCATCAAAACTCTTTGAAATAGGATATCTAAATAGCGTGCATTTTATCTCAGGGAGGCTCGGGTTAGTTCTAGTGTCCAGATGACTATTAATGGGCTTTGTGCTCTGGAGCATATGTTAATAGAAGAGATCATTTTGGATTAATTCAATGTGAATTAATAAGAGATTTATTTGATGGGAGTTGTTTGAAGGTGATGACATTTTAATCTCAACAGGATTTAAGATGTCCAAAAATTCCTTTAGAGATTCAGGAACAATCAATTCAGAGGGCAAATGGAATAGATGTGGATAGCAAAGAACAGGATCAGACATTGGGTTTATGAAGTTTGAAGCCGTTTACAAGAAAAGCCATCTACCATTGAAGTATTGCCCTAGAATCTGAAGAAATGGAAAACATTTAAACTCTCTTAGCAATTCCTGAGTTTGTGAATTGGATAAACAATGTTCTCTTGCATTTTATAGTTCACTTAAGCAATCTGATTTTGATCTGTATATATGGAGTAGACAGCATTCAAATCTTTTTTTTCCCTAAACCAATGAGCAAACACATATGTTCTTGAAAAACTGAACTTTATATGTTGTTCATATGGAAGCTATCTAGCTGGGTATAGGCCCCGAAGCTGACCTTCCTTTTATTTTGCTATCACTTGTTTAATTCTTTAAATTCTTTGTGGGAGACTTTTGATCAAAAGAAACAATTTGCTGTTCTTTTTTTTTCTTTTAATTTTTTAAAATAAAAGCTTCATGAAATGTGTAACTAATAACTCAGTGCTCCTAGGCAGTTGAGGTAAACAGGCATGGAAAAAACATATATTAAAGAGAAGGCTATCCTGTCTTTCCTTTGTGTGTTAAGCTTTGATTCCAAACAGTTGATAGTTTTATTATATGGAAAAACAATAAGAAAATGTCATGGGCTATCATATGCTATGATGATAAGAACAGCTACTTATAACGAAAATCACGCTCCGCAGGATTTGAGACTGAGGTTGCATTACATCATCTCATTCCTCTCACTTTCTAGTCTCATTCAGGATATATGTGTTTGAACTGATATTTGGAAAGATACTCAAAAAGTTTTATCCCCTTTGAGAAAGGGGTTCCTTATAACCTCTTCTTTGCTTTTAAAAATATCCTTCTCTCTTAAATTAATCATGAATAATAAAATTATAGTCACGTTGCTGGATGCAGTTGGCCGATACAACATAGCTGATGCTGGATATACATTTATTTGAATGAATGAATGAGTGAATGAATGAATGAATGAATGAATGTTGGAGGAAACAAATAGCTGAATGGTAGATATCAGTGGGATTTCTGATGTCTTTTGTTGTTGATGGTTTAATATTTAAAGTCTTTCAAGGACACTTGATACAGGTTTTCTACGGTAAAATGTGAGAAAGATTTTCTAATGTTCCTTAGCCATTAATCAGAATCATTATTGAATCTTGGAGGCAGGGTGCAGTGTAGAAACAATTTATTGTAATTCCCTCATTATAGGGAGTAAAAACAGGTTTAGCAAAGTGAGAGGTGCAGTCACATCAACCGGCGATGTGAATCGGGTTTGGAAACTGGACCCATAACTTCTGTACCATTTTTTTGCTCCTTAAGTTTTGATTTTGTACTTTGTTTAGGGTCAAGTTGCCACTAACATAGCTCTTACCTTCAGTGAGTTCTCCTTTAGAGGAAATAAATACTAGTGATCTCAGCTCTCTTTTCAAGTTACTGTGACAGTTGATTTCCTTGGCTGAGTAATTCACTTGATTATCTATTGCAAGATTTTTTGGAGCAAGTGTATTTCACAAATGTGTGTGTATGTATTTATATGAAATCAAAGTAAGTTCATTAATGCTTAATTCATAATATCTTCATAATATTGGAAAACCCAGATTCCTTTTCTTTGAAGGTGCCGTTTTGAGAACGTTAGTCACCGTCTTCTGCAGAAAAAGGATTTTTTAATATATTTAAACATTTTAATCAGTACAGTGAAGTAGTTAGCAGAATTATATTTTAAACTCTAATGCCAATTATTTCCACTACATAAACCTGTCTAAATGATGCTATAACATAGAACCCAGAAATAGTTCTGGATCTTGTTTTTTTAAATACTAAACTGTTTTACTAAAAATGCAGAGAAGGGGAAGGGTCATCAGAGAACATGTATAAAGGACCTGTGGACAAAGCCCAAGTGAAGGAGGTGGAAGTGGCTGGGATGGGGAGAGTGATGGGGGGAAAATGGAGACAATGGTACTTGAACATCAATAAAAAAAGAAAGAAAGAAAGAAAAGAAATATCAGCACAGTTAAAAATGCAAAGAAAGCTTTTAGATGTAAGTTTTAATTTAGAAGGAAATAATTACAAGTAGGGATTTAGATTTTTGCAAGTGGAATATGTTACATATCAGTAATGAAAGATATGTTATATATCTTAATACACATAGAGCATTTTTAGGAAGATAAACGTATTTTTAACGTGCTTAACTATCTTGACACAATATGCATTGAGCTTCTGTCTGCCTCTAAAGGAGCATCCATGTGTCTGTATAGATGGATAGTGATACAGATACGAGAATGCTCACTGCCCCCCCACCCCAGCCCCCAGGTGAGTTTTTTAGCTCACAGTTAAATAGAGGAATGAGCTTAGCAATTCTGAGGCTTGCAGCTCTCATTTAGATTTTTTAACTCCTCTTTATACAATGCACATTTAGCCTCATTGTCTGAATTTTTAAAATATTTTTAAAAGATTTTATTTATTTATTTTTAGAGAGGGGAAGGGAGGAAGAAAGAGAAGGAGAGAAGAAACATCACTGTGTGGTTGCCTCTCATGCACCCCCTACTGGAGACCTGGCCCGCAACCCAGGCATGTGCCCTGACTGGGAATTGAACCAGCGACCCTTTGGTTCACAGGCCAGTGCTCAATTCACTGAGCCACTCCAGCCAGGGCTCATTGTCTAAATGTTTCTGGTGGACCTATTCTAACTGGCATTTTGAACTTTTTTTAACAGTCAATATAGTACAATAAAAAAAAAAATTTAAATGGATTTGCCAAAATTGATAACCAAGTCTCAGTGATGTGATCAAATCTCTGTATATATTTGCTTATATAAATTTATATATTCATATTTATAGTACATCTTATTAATTATAGTAGGACCATTAATACAATAGTTCCCTCAATAATTTTATTAAAATAGTAAAAACCAATGCTATAGTGGTGGTGTCAAGCTGGTTCAATCATGACTTTATAGTCTCACTTTAGTGAGGGGAATAGAAAACTAGTACAAATAGCTAGAAAGCTACCACGTGTCATACATGGTGTCTAGTGTTTCTGTGAGTCTCAGTAAGGCTTGCAGAATTCCTGATGGCATTGAACTAGTTCTTTTCCCAGCCACATCGTGTATAGGCTGGGACTGAGATTCTGCAAGGGACTGGCTGTGGATGCCGCTCCTCTTCAGCTACAGCCTCAGCAGGTACACTTTGTATCCTTTCTAGAAGCATGTCCCCTCCAGGTTTACTAATTAAAATCTTTTATTCCTGCCCTAATGTGGGTAAGTATTAGGATGCTTAGGGTTCAGAGGGTTTTAGAGGTTTAGTCATTTCACCAGCATCACAGGCTGTTGTGAAAATGACTTCCATTTTCTTTGATATCGTGCTCCTTCTCCTCCTGCTGCTTCATTAAAACCCAGAGGCCGGAGAAGACCTTGCTCAAGGTTTGCACATGCTTTTTATCAGACATCTTGGAAGCAGCCTGCTGTGACAGCCTAGAGTGTGTTTTAGGTGTGATACATTGAAGTATGTTCACATCATTTAGGAAGGAAAATATTTTGTTTTGTTTTGTTTTACAGATGTACAGATCAACTTTCAAAATGTCTTCTGAGCATCTTCTAAGACAATTGCATTAGCCTCCTGCTAGTTGACTAATAGAATTAATACTTGTAAAAAGCATTCTAAAGCCACATGCCTTATGAAGTCAATGCTGGGTATGATTTTACAAGTATGTGATCCATTTTTTCAAGTGAAAACGTTAACTGGAAAAGTTCTTGGCACACAAGAAAACATCGTGCAATCTGTTATTTGTCTTAAAGAGAATGACTTGAGGGTGGATCTGGTCTTACAGTATCTAACTTATGATTTGTGAGGGGACTTCCTTCCACTTAGAAGTATTGCAAATGTGATTCTATTTACATAATATGTCATTCTGAAAAATTATGGTGATACAATTCCCGTAAAAATTATTTTTTTTCTAGAACTACTTCAAAGTGTAGTCAACTAAATTAACCACAATGTATTTTTTTAAACGCAACTAAAAAGAACAGACCCCCTTCCCCCCCACAACAAAAAATAAAACTCAAACGACCTTTCTGATACTTCTTTGAAGTTTTAGCCGTTTAACATTCTTTGCGATATATATTATTAAGAGCTCTATTCAACATAAGGAATCAGTGAGTCATGTGGGCTCTAACAGTCTGTTCTGGGGTGGATGAAGGAACTGAAATTTGAAAGGATGGTAATTTAATTAAATCATATTTTCCCTCATTCACTATAGAAGCTGGTTGAGAAGTGTTTAAACTATGACCCTTACTTTTCTTTATAACAATAAATGAGCAAAATCCATTTTTGCTCTGAAAAATATGTAATTTTTTTCAATATTATATCTATTCATTTTTAAGTATTTTATCTTTGTTCCCTTGCTATGTAAAATATTGCCACTTTTTCTAATTACCTTGACATTAATAAATGGGCATAAACCATTTTCTCTTAATCTGTTGGAAGGAGAAGCTTAATTAGAATACTCCGTTCTCATTTTTTTGTGAATCCTACCTTTCATGTAGATGTTTATCTTTTTTGTGTACCTTGATTTATTTCATTTTGGGCCACCTTTGCTAGATTTTACTTATGCTAAGGAGAAAACATTAAACTTCAAACACTGTGGTGTGTCATTTGTCCATGGAGGGATTAAGCTGTGTTACTAAGGACACTGTGTGCAGTGGAGAAATCAAACCGGAAGTTGTGGAGGGAAAGGCGGGCGGTCCTCATCACGATTTCAGATGCAGGGACGGCTGGTACTCCCTACCCGAGAATGTTGTCTTGTGTAAGCCTGGTTAAAACGATATATCTTTTTTTAGCCAAACCTTTTGTATTTTCAGTGATAACTGATTGCTTAAGCTTCCCTTTGATTTCTTTTTGTGTCCTTTCCGTTTTAGTTCTGCTTTTGTTGACCACTAGTACAGTCGCGCCCCCCCCCCTACCCCGTCTTCCATGGGTTGGTACACATTCCCATCTTCTGCCACTTCTGACAGAAGAATAGATGTCTCCTGAAATGTCAGCATCAACAAATAAGACATGTCTCCTGAAATGTCAGCATCAGTAAATACAATGCAAACATTCCAAATTAAATTAGTTATCCAGTGTCCCAGCTCAGGGACTAACCATAGTGTGACACCCAGGCAGAGACCACACGCCCTCCCCCCTGCCCTCCCCTCCCCCTGAGAGGCCAGGCAGGTGTGTATTGACCACAGTCCTTCATCTATCAGTGTCTTGTTGTTGTTGCAAGAAGGAGATTCTATGGCTATTTGATGAGTCACATTATTTGTATATAAGAGGAGCAATGTACAAAGTTACACAATTTTGACATTATTCAGTAGGTGAATTTTTACCTTACCAACAACTTCTTGTACATTCTCTGGGTTCAGTGATTCATAGGATAAAAATTTTGCTTGACCGGCTTTCCAGAAAGGAAGGCGCACCCATATATCACAAGCCAGCATGGTTCTTCAGCACTGGTGAGAAATTATAGATGAAAACGACTTGAGACATGTTATTAATTTGGGTTTTCTCAGGACATTTTGGATAATCATGGTGCAACTAACTCCATTAAATCTGTCCTGTGGCAGAGTCGGCTAGCAAAGAAGGCTCATTTTACTAGTCTGTGACAGGTGGATTTTTCCAAGAGACATTTGGGACAACAGCCACACACAGCAGGGGGGTGAAGGGACCCAGGCCTGGAACCTCAGGCCTCAACCTGCCTTTGTCTCTGCTCTCTTACCGACACAACACAAATTGTTCCTTATGTCCTTTCTACCCTTAGAGTTCTGAGGCATTGGACTCCAGTAGAGGAATTTGTCACAGTGTTCTCATTTTGACCCTGCTCCTGGATGCCACTAACTTGAAAGGCACCACTGAGCTAGCTAGCGTGTGAAGCTGAGCCATAGAAAATTCTAATATTTTGCCATTTGGAGCTATGAAGTGACAGTGTCTTCTGGTTCATTTGAAATTTTACTGTAGGCTGCTTCCAGTGTGCTCCCAATGGCGGAACCAGTGCTGTTCCCCCAAGGCTGTACCTAGAAACCTAGGGCTGAGGGAGATTCCCCATCATTGCTGGAGACAGTTCTGGGGAGACTCAGCCTGGCCACCATGGGGCACACCAGGTCCTCCTGCTAAATTTCAGACACATTCCCGAATGGGGCTTAATCGTATTAACTTCTGATGTTCTCTCACCTGACTTTTTGTGTGTCATTGGGCAGATCAGCTTTGCAGGAGATTTTGCTGTGTCTGTGGCAGAATCTTATATTCTCGTAAGCCCTTTTGTTGCTGTCTGAGAAAGCAAGAAAAATTGTGTCTTTCTATCAAACATTTATAGTCAAAATCCTAAAAAAAAAAAAAAAAAAAAAAGAAAGAAGGAAATTTAACAGTAGAGCAGAGAGGAAACATTTGTTCTCCTCTATTCCTTAAAGTAATGGGGCAGTTTTCACTTTGTAGCATGCTATTTCCGTTTTTGACTGTGTTGATATTTTGGTAGAAACTATATTTATATCTCAGTTGCACAGTGTGTAACAATATTGAGTTCCAATTTATGTTGTTTATATATATGCATATCATATAAATAAACATGTAATATATATTTCATAAACATAAACATGTATATATAGTCTATAAACATAATATGTATACAAAGTCTACATAATACATAGCATGTATAAATATGTAAGCATATATATATATATATATATATATATATATCACTGACTATAAGAAATTGAGCAAAAATTTATAATTGGCAGGCAGGAAAAACTAATAGGAAGGATAAAGCTAGTATGAATCTTTTAGTATTCATAAAACCATTTTAAAATAAATGGGCCATTCTATGATAAAAATACTCTAAATGTAAATTGTTGGCTTTAGTTCCAATTTTTTGCTGTTTTTAAAACTGACGTTGTTGCCCAGAGGAAGTTTTTTATTTTGCACCTTAAAAAGTCTTGAATAGAATAAGTAAATTGTTCTAGATTAGATTACATGTCTGTACCCTTTCAATAACCCTATGTCTTTCTTTTCCTTCTATTTTTACAGATATGGTCCGGAAAAAGAACCCCCCTCTGAGAAACGTTGCTAGTGAAGTCGAGGGCCAGACCCTGGAGCCCATAGGTACAGAAAGCAAGGTATCGGGAAAGAACAAAGAATTTTCTGCAGATCAGATGTCAGAACACACGGATCAGAGTGATGCTGCAGAACTAAATAATAAAGAGGAACATAGCTTGCATGCCCAAGATCCATCTTCTAGCAGTAAGAAGGACTTAAAAAGTGGAGTCCTGAGTGAGAAGCCTGGCTTCAATTATGAAAGCCCCAGTAAGGGAGGCAACCTTCCCTCCTACCCACATGATGAGGTGACAGATAGAAATATGTTGGCTTTCTCATCTCCAGCTGCTGGGGGAGTCTGTGAGCCCTTGAAGTCTCCTCAAAGAGCAGAGGCTGATGACCCTCAAGATATGGCCTGCACCCCTTCAGGGGACTCACTGGAGACAAAGGAAGATCAGAAGATGTCACCAAAGGCTACCGAGGAAACAGGGCAAGCGCAGAGTGGTCAAGCTAATTGTCAAGGCTCAAGCCCAGTTTCAGTGGCCTCAAAAAACCCACAAGTGCCTTCAGATGGGGGTGTGAGACTGAGTAAATCCAAAACTGACTTACTGGTAAATGACAACCCAGACCCGGCACCTCTGTCACCAGAGCTTCAGGACTTTAAATGCAATATCTGTGGATACGGTTACTATGGCAACGACCCCACAGATCTGATTAAGCACTTCCGAAAGTATCACTTAGGACTGCATAACCGCACCAGGCAGGATGCTGAGCTGGACAGCAAAATCTTAGCCCTTCATAACATGGTGCAGTTCAGCCATTCCAAAGACTTCCAGAAGGTCAACCGCTCCGTGCTTTCTGGTGTGCTGCAGGACATCAATTCTTCAAGGCCTGTTTTACTAAATGGGACCTATGATGTACAGGTTTGTGCTCTGTATTGTGATCTCTTTGTACACAAAAAGCTGTTAGTAATGCAATGTTAAAATCCAGCTCCCAATACCAAAGGGGCAGCTTGCTAGATCCAGAGAAAAGACAAACACACTCCATTAGCTAGTGCATGCGAATGTGCATTCGATGCTGTCTTCACACTCTCATCATGGAAGTTAATCCCGGTATTTCTGTTATGTTGGGAAAAGTCTTTTCATGAAATTAGCTAGGCTTCGAGTTTCTAGACATACTTCATGGTAGTTTGATTTTTTTTCAGTCTTCCAAAAATGACACAGATCTTTATGGCTCTACGTGACAGTAATTCATGCTTTGTTCTAGTTTTAGATTATGAGTCTTTTCAAGACTCATAAGCTATAGTCTTCTGTGAGGGTCTTTCTTATGACTCGGATTAGGATTTGATTTGGTAGTCAGTCCAGTGTCAAATTGGACTAGATTTAGGTCATGTTGACAGCAGCAGAGATGGATTCCCGGAAAAGCAACATAATTGCAAATGAAAATTTGGAAATAAAATATTACATTGATTAAAAAGAAGTCAAAGGGATTGTAAGTCCCAGGGGCACCAGAATGACCTTGGTATGGTCCAATAAATCATTCCTTTCTTCAGTTAAGGAAAATAGTAATTTATGGAAGCATTTAGAAGCAATTTAGATTTCTATTTTTATTAAACTTCGTGTTCCTCTTTGATTTCCTCTTCTGCCTTTAGATTATGGCATATATGAAATGAAAAAAAAATACCATTTCAAATAGAATGAATTTCAGAACTGAGTCTGAAGAAATGTATTTATTTTATTTTGGCAATTTTAAGCATAGTCAAAACTCATGGTAAGCTTGAGAAAAGTGTATTAGTTTCTATGAATAGTGTGTAGACTTTTATAGTGTTATTAGGCCAGGAAGTTTCAAAACATTTGCTTTAATATTAACCTTCTTTAGGAGTGAGTAGAAGAGGTATCGAAGAACTAATGAAATCACATCACACTTAAGTGACCTCTTAAATTTCGTATAAGTCATTCTTATCAACTTGGTAGCTACAGTGCATTTGATACAGACCTGTCTGTTGGCCTAGCGCCAATTCAGAAAGGCAAGCAAAGGGGTTATAAATAAGAGGTAATGAACATATTTGTAATCCCCGTAAGAAGAACCAGAAGAGAAATTTCCAAGTCCTTATTTAAAAATGTCAGAATGGCAATCTCATCATTTTCAGGGAGACATAAAGAACTCTGAAAAAGCCAATTTCGTCTTTGTAGTGCTCCCTGAAAGATCCCATCTTTCCTTGTGAATTTCCACAAATAGAATTATTTCTGCGGAGCAGCAAATTAAGTCGGTGTAGTTATTATGCACGAAAGCTCCGTGCTTTGAACTGCCGTCTCATTAAGATCATTGCACTGTCTCATGTCAGGTACACTGGGCTGTCAGACTATGACTGGAAAGCAAATACGTGTTTTAGATAAAAGGGTTAGAAGGGAATAATGTCAGTACGTGAAACGGCGTTTTATAATTAGCGAGTAATACGATGTTAATACCTGGATTTCCGGCTGGAGTTTCCGTTCGTTCACTCTGGGGACGACTTCTGAGGGAAGCTGAGCTGAGCTGTCAGGAAAGCTCTAGAAGGCAGATCACTAAGGCCTATAGTCTGGAAGAGTTCAGATTTTTAAACATACTTCCATTCCCCCCTCCAAGCAGTTATTTGTTAGGTTCTCAGTTATTTATAGAAAAGTTTATGTTTGGGTAGAGCGAGCTGGACACTTTTCCTGGGCGGTGATCTTAGAAATAAAACAGATGTGCGAGCTATCTGAGTTGGAACTAATAGAAGTGGAAACAAAACAGCTGATCCTGGACAAAGCTGTCTCCTCGACGTCCATGTGGCAGCGCACAGCCAAGGGGACCCATGTGGCAGCAAAGAGCATGATGAAGGAAGATAATCTTGTTAAGATCCTTTTTTTTCCCGCCAAAGAGAAATCATATGTCTAAACATAGAAAAATAGCAGTCTGTGGGAAAAGTGGGTGATTATTTTTAAAAAATTGCATTTAGAAACAAGTCTAAAGAGAGTTAACTTTCATCAGTTTAGGAAGAGAACACTAAATATACTTGTAGGCCAAATGCTAATCTCGAATTCTTTGCCCATGCACCAGATGTTGCTGCAAAAACTCGTCTGAAGATAAGTAACTTATTAATATTTTTATGCTGAAATAAATATTGAACAGCTTCCCTAGATGCCTAAACAGAACGAAAGCACATCTGAAGTCCCCCCCTTCTCCCCGCCTGTCTGTGTGACTGAGATGCTGCGGAAGACAGGCGTCTTTCCTTGGCACTTGAATTGTGTGGAGGCTAAAAGCTGTGGGAGAGAGAATGCTGACGGTAGAGTTTCTTTAATGCAGTTTTGTCAGAAATTTATGGTAAGTTAATGGCATGTGTGTGTTCTGATCAAAAGATGTTGATCAATATGAGTATTACAGACAATAATCATTCCATTCTAGGAACTAGTTCTATCTATCCGTAATTTAAGCTAATTGAAGTGATAGATGAGTAATTCATTACATTTTTTTCAATTAAATTGGCTTTTTTTTTTTAACATTCAGGAGAGTTGGTGGTTAATGATAGATTTATGGCATTTCAGGCAAAGAAAAAAGGAATGAGGGCCCGAGCACAGGACTTAGGATCTCCGGCTCTGATCTGTGTTTTGGTTTGATGTGGATGGTTTTCAATAATTTGACTGGAGCATAGACATGAATTACACTGTTGGGAAAAAGAACTAATGTAAACACATTTTAAGATTTTCAGATCCAAGTTTGGATTCTTTGACATATATTTGGGGGACTAATTGAGGTTGAGTCCTGTTCGTACTGACAGTAGCCACTTCTGCATACATTTTTATTGAAAACAATGACGTCGGAGAATTACAAATTTGTACAAATAGTGTCACAGAACAGTGTTGTTTTGTCCGGAAGGCTAGGTAGAGGCCCGGCTGGATAATGGGATTCACTTTGAAGGGCCACCATAAAACCAGGCTAGTCTTTTCTGAAGCCTGTTAAAATCACATCCTCTCAGAGCATCTTGAGGTGAGTGTGCAGCCCTGAAATCAGAAGAGCTGTGGATTCTTTACTGAGAAAAACAAGAAAAGATATATAATGGCTAAGAGATAGGATGCAAACACGTTTACTAGCTTAGAGCTCATTGACTTTACCTGGATGTCAGTGTCTCCATTTCTAAGTTTTTCCTGACTGTTTTATCAATTATGATGCTTAAAAATGTAAAAATAATGGATGTGGCATGATCGGGAAGCCCTCCATGTAATTTTTACTACCTGTATTCAGCCTTTGAGGCTCACACAGGGACTAATGATAGGACAAGAGATTGAGTTCAAAAAGTAATTACAGCTTCTTTCTTTTTAATCTGTTTTATTATGCTTATATTTAAACCATCACTGAATGGAGAGGCCTGCGTTGTTAAACAGCGAGGGGGCTGTTTCATTAGGGCTTAAAGTGCTGTGCATTAGGGGGGGTGTGTCATCTTTATGGGGGACTCTTAGCCCTGAGACCAGGTTATAAAAGCTGGAGTCCTGTCAAGTCGTGCTTCCCACGGGAAAGTGTTTTCGTTACCCCAAGTTTATAAATGCTTACGCTGTGCATGTTGCCTTTTCGTATTACTAAACCCTTTCTGTGATGCTGCCTTATTCAGGACTGCAAAGAGGTAGCTATCAGATTCCAGCTATTACATTCATTCTGGCTCTGAATGAAATGCTTAAGGTTCTCAGAGGAGCGTCACGGCTAACTCACCGGTGACTGTCCTGCGTTTGATCTAGGAGCACTGGGTCTCTGTTCTGCAAATATTTTTATCAGAGTGGCACAATATGTCATGTTAGATGCAGGAAGGACATATTCTAGAGACAGGAAGTCATCCTTTGTATTTGTATTTTTAACATATTTAAATCTGAGCATTGTCGACCCTTCACCTGTGCCAGTATGTTCATTTGATTGAGGGTGGGGGTCAGAGTTGGTCTGGGAAAAAAAATCAGAGAACATTAATTTCATTTTGGTCTATTTTGACTCTTCTTGAATTTTCTTTCCAAATATTTATTTTTTTGCCATGTGGTCTCCTTTGATCTGGAGTCGAAGGGAAGTTGTAGATCTTAGCAGGTCCTGTTTCTTTGTTTTTTTCAGTCGAGGACAATTGAACTTCAGAACAACTGGTGAATGAGGCTTTAATCACTTCAGACTGCCTATAGAGTTCCAAATGTTTGGCATATGACCCGTAGTCATATTCAGGACTGTGTCTCTTTAACAAGTAATAAAGTGTGCAAAACAAACCACATGCTCACCCTAATGCCATAAAACAAAGCAAAGTTTTGGCCTTTACCCGGTTACTGTCATTGTGGAGATGGCCCAGCTGGACAATGCACCACCCAGGTGGAGCAGGGTCGTTAGAACATCTTCACCTGTCCTTTTCCCGGCTTGATGGTGAAATCTCTACTTGCCTTTTTTACTTTGGGGTCGCTAAGGATAAATGTCAATTACTTCTTCATCTTTGGTTTATTTGCTATCAATGAAAGAACAGGTATCACTTTCTTAAATGTAGTATTTCTAGGTAGAATGTTTAGAAGGAGAAATTATTATCAGTGCATGGAATCAAATGTAGTGTTATTTAACTCTTAATAAAACTTTTATTCTCTAATGGCTGGTTCTGCTAAGCATATCAAATCAACAGAGTATTCAGTGCTGTGTGTTTCTTGGGTCATTGTAATTGTAGTGCACACACAGCTGATGGATGCACAGAAACATTAGGTGAGTGTTAAGCCCAGAAAAGTTTGGAGAAAAAGAGTAATTCCCTCTCATTTTTCAATTTTCTTCATAGCATCTATTTCTGAGAATAATTAGACCATAAACCTTCTGAATTCTCCATCCTATGATTTTAAAGTTTAATGTTAAGTGTTATACATTTTCAGAATATAAGACCTTTGTTTAATTTTAATTGGAAGTC